TATCTATATCAATACACACAGCGCCATCTATACCATTTTTTCCCTCGGAAATATAAATTTTTTCGGGATAAAAAGTAAATATCAATTTTTTCGGGATAACTTTACGTCTGCAAAATTTCAAAGCAATCGGTTTAGTAGTTACGGCGTGAAAGCGGAACAAACAAACAAACAAATAAACTCACTTTCCGATTTATAATATAAGTAGGGATATATCATCCAGGAGGATAGATTATCGTACTACATAGCGGTCGTATAATATTTTGGCAATAAAGAAAGACTGCCCCTAAGATGACTCACTGACCATATTCTATCGCTGTTATTTAATACCGTTGTACAAATATAATGCCAACGAAGTTCGATTAACTTACCTCTACATACACAATGAAATATATTTAAAAAACAACGGTTATATTGATAGGTATCAGAATGTTTTACAAAATTTATGGGTAAACATAATTGTTACATGACAAGAGAGGTAAGAACGGTTTAAAAATATTATGATTCATCAATGAAATTGTATCAGGAAAATACGTCAAAATATTGTTTCACAACAGTAGGGTAGTTTCCTAAATTTTATTTTAATGTACGTCTGGTACTTTAAACTGTCAAACACCAAGCGGTCATCGGTGACCGCAACCTGTTGTTCTATAATTGTATCTATAATGACGGTACTCGACGAGTTAAAACTTTAGGCACGTATTTTTTCTTTTCTCACAAAATTAAATATTTTCGACGATATAATTAAACTGTCAAACACCAAGCGGTCACCGGTGACCGCAACCTATTGTTCTATAATTGTGTCTACAAAACCGGTACTCGACGAGTTAATTTGAAATATCGTGTGACGTCACAGCGTGTTTATTAATTTTGTGAAAATAAAACATGTTATTTAGTTACCACCACAATCATCAAGTCGGCGTTTTTCGGCATCATTCCGTTTACACCCTGTATATTCTTCTCACATATACGTACAGTATTGGAATATGGATCAGAGATGGAATTTTTAAATTGGAATATGATTAAAAAAAAAAGAAATTGTAGAACATATTTCTTTAAAGAGTCACGAATGTCTCTTACTCGTTCTTCTCCATTCGAATCTACATTTTAGAATGAGCACTTAGCTTCACCTAGGTTCACTGACGGACTGACTGACAGACTATTATTCATATTGTACTTGTTGACGTTTCAAAAGTACTAAATTATGGTTGAAACTGTCAAATACCGAGCGGTCACTGGTGACCGCAAAATATTGTTCTATAATTGTTTCTATAATGACGGTACTCGACGAGTTAATTGAAATAAATGCTCTAACTTTGACTTTAATAATTATAACAATTTTTGTCCAATTAATGATTAGCCCAACGCAGGTTCTGAATTCAAACAATTCAATTGGCATAAAACTGCCGAATTTTAAATTTTACAAAAGCATTACTTCTGTCTGTTCGTTCGAAAACAAAAGATGTTTCTGTTAATAAATTACTTTCAAAGTTATTTGTAATCGTCCTTGTGCGTGAATGTTCTTACTTTATGTTCTTTGTCCAGTCAATGTATACTTAGACTTGCATCTGTATATGATAACAACAATATTACTCATTTTGTTTTATGTAGGAAATATGCAGTGAATTTGTCTTATTTTTAATTTTCATTTTCTATTTTATTTTAACTCATGTATTGAAATACACCTACATCGTATATAAATTGTAGGCAATGCGTATCAATAGTGAATTAAAGGTAAAATGTATAATGATAATAATATAAAAGAGAAGATAGTATGCGATAGGATAATCGAAGAGGAGAATAGAAACTGTGATAACTGGCAAGAAGAAGGAGAATAAAGGAAATGAAACTAAATATGCATAGAGCTAAGTAAGAAATAATAATACAATAGGGATGATGACAGGGTATGAAAATTTAAAATGTAATTAGTCCGTCAGTTAGGTAATGAAAAAATATTAGACACGTATTTTTTTATTTTGTCGTACTTATAATAAAACGATACTTAGATATAACGAATCAAAGTTTAGGAGTCCCGCTAAAACGTCATTTCTACGCATAAAATGTACATAGAAGTGACGTTACGCGACATTTCAAATCAATATACCGACGAAAGTTTTCGTTTCTGTAAGAAAATAAAAAATACGTGTCTAATGATTTAAAATAACCTACCAGATGGACATTAAAATAAAAATTAGTTATCTACTTTTTTCTTTATCAAATACATAATACTAGTACTAAAAGTATTAGAAAAGGGGTAAAGACGAAGGAGAGGAGAAATATTCAATAATCTACTTAATTGTTTGGTTATAAAGTTGAAATTACTGATGATCTTGAAGTGAACATCACTACTAACAGCCTGTAAAACTGACAGGTCTATTGCTGGACTAGACTATTATGGGTCTACTACATGAGAGGATTTATCGTAACTCCCAATTGATAATTTTATTTTATACTAGCTTTTACCCGCGGCTTCGCTCGCGTCACAAAAGGATAAAAAGCCATTGTGACATATACCAATACACACAGCGCCATATAGATGGTATAAGTATTGGTATAGACCAATACTTTTGTTTTCCCTCGGGCATATCAAATTTTTCCGGGATAAAAAGTACCCTATTATTTAATCCGGACTTCTAACTATACATCTGCAAAAACTCAAAGCAATCGGTTTAGTAGTTATGGCGTGAAAGCGGAACAAACAAACAAACAAGCAAACTCACTTTCCGATTTATAATATTAGTGAGGATTTGATGAAACGACGTTTAACCACTATCTCGTCTGGTGGTAAGCGATGATACGATCTACGATGGAGCACGTCGTCCCATAAGCAACCTATCACTCGGACCTTGAAGACACCCAGGTTATGCCCTTCAGGAAATACAAACTCTGACAAAGAAGAATAATTGAAATGCATTAAACGAAGACTGTAAACTTGAACCTACAAACACGTTCGGATACGACAACCTATTTATAGAAACAACTGGTCATACCCATCTGGTAAATGAACACAGTGTAGTGCATGCAAAAATGTAGTTTATATACTGCAGTTTACGACTTGAATTAATGTAGCTATAGATAGAGACCTATATTTATCATGAACAATGATGACGATTCAACATAACATAACATCACGCCTTTTATCCCCGAAGGGGTAGGCAGAGGTGCACATTATACAGTGGTATAATGTAACACCCAATTTTAACTATTTATGTTATGAGTCCCATGTAATAGGGGGTGAGTATATTACCGAGCACAATTCCAGACTCCGTGCTACCACTGAGATTTTTTTTAAAACCCAGTACTACTTTGTCCGACCCGGGAATCGAACTTGCGACCACTCGGCCAGCGAGGCAGTCATGATGATGACGATTCAATCATGATGATTTTAGGTTAGGATGAACAATGATACAATCATTGTATTATAATCAAAAAGTATTATAATAAAGAAGACAAAACTAGCCACTTTAGATAATGTTTTATGTCATTACCGATTTATCTTCAGATATTATCAAAAAATTACTATATATCAGTTTCATTAAAATTACATTAACTGGGCACATCGTGGCTTACAAATTGCAATTACTTACGTCAGAATACTGAAAGGCTACTCAGTTTTAAGTTCATAACATCACGCCTTTTATCCCCGAAGGGGTAGGCAGAGGTGTACATTATGCCACTGTACAATGTAACACCCACTTTTCACTATTTATGTTATGAGTCCCATGTAATAGGGGGTGAGCCTATTGCCATATACCGGGCACAATTCCAGACTCCGTGCTACTACTGGGAATTTTTTTGAAAAACCCAGTAATACTTTGCCCGACCCGGGAATCGAACCCGAGACCCCTTGCCCGGCAGTCGCACTTGCGACCACTCGGACAATGAGGCAGTCCCTAGTTTTAAGTTGTACTTAAATATTATGCTATATCTGTCATTTCTTTGCAGCGGAGGACTTAACGGGTTGCCAGGGCTCCGGCTCGAAGTGCAGGAGTAGGAACGGGGTGGTTTTTAGTCAGTAAGAGTCTGACACTCTCCCACCCTCCGCCTGGGAGAAGTCATTCGATGATTTTCCCCCCTTAAAAAAGATCTCTGTGATTTTGCAAAGACTTTGTAGTGACAGAACTATATTTAGGTGCGACTTAAAATTGAGTAGTAGCATTTTAGTATTTCAGCGCCGAGTACGTTTTTTGACAACTTGAAATTCAGTGGTTTCATAATCTTTATGACCTTTTCTTTTCAATACTAAAATTAAAGAGCTGACATACTGTTCATACTTCTGATGTTATTTTTAAGTTAATTTGAGTGTCTTGCTCGTTTTTCTCTATCGGAATCTAAATTCTGAACGATCCAATAGCTACATTAGAGGACTGACCCACAGACTGATATTTTTTATATTTTTTTTAGTTTTGACGTTGGTCTAATTGAAACAAATGACTTTGACTTTGAATCTTAGTTCTCATGACCTAGATTTACCATTAACTCGTCGAGTACCGTCATTATAGACACAATTATAGAACAATAGGTTGCGGTCACCGGTGACCGCTTGGTGTTTGACAGTTTAAGTCATTTTATGTATGGTTGGTGCTCAACGTGTCGCGGGTTCGATTCCTTCGCGGAGCAAGTCCTCGTGTGATCCACAGATTGTTGTTCCAGATTTGAGTGTTATATGTATATTTGTAAACGCACCCCCGACACAGGAGACAATCCTAGTGTGGTCAACGTTTTTTTTTTAAAACAAAATAAATAAGCCGAACATAGTACCTCCTCCTTTTTTTATAGTCGTTAAAAGGCGAGACTTTGATCAATTGCTCTGATACCAACATGTCGTGTTGAAGTGACTATCAGATCTCTCACACATGACTCCTGAACTTTATACTTAAAAGATTGTTCATCCACCATACATATAGATAGATAAATGATATACTAAACGTAAGCAATCTCATAACATGTCAACATACTATCACCTACTTATTATCAAAATAAATTTTATTATTTTCTTTCAGTCTGCAACCAGTATCCACCACAACCACAATGGTAGCCAGAAACTTGTTCACCGTAAATAGGACTTTAACAACAGTGAAACAGAGTTCAAAATATGCAAGTGTTGTGATAAGGAAACATAGTGTTTGGACTCAGGATAGAGTGATCAAATCCCCTTTCAAAGATGTTCATATACCTAATTGTACGTTGTATGAGTACATTTGGCAGAATCTCGATAAATGGCCCGAGAGGACTGTGTCTGTAAGTATCTATTAATTATTCTCTTCATTTATTAAACTGTCAAACACTAAGCGGTCACCGGTGACCGACGAGTTAACTCGTCGAGTACCGGTTTTGTAGACACAATTATAGAACAATAGGTTGCGGTCACCGGTGACCGACGAGTTAACTCGACGAGTTATCGGTCACCGGTGACCGCTTGGTGTTTGACAGTTTAAACTAAAATATTATTGCACACTGTGGTATTACCTATATCATTATTAGTTTTCCTGTCACAGGTCCACAAGAAGAAATTCCAATAGGAATAGGTGGTACCTTTGTACTTTAATTTTATGTATATGTTGTCCTTTATGTAATATGTGTCATCATCATCATCAACAGCCTATAAATGCTCACTGCTGAGCAAAGCCTCTTCTCATATGGAGAAGGTTTGAGCATTAATCACCACGCTTGCTCAATGCGGGTTGGCGATTTCAAACTTATAATTAGAAATTTTAAGCCCAGGTTTCCTCACGATGTTTTCCTTCACCGTTGGTCAGTGGTGTCTAAATAATCTTAGAAAGTACATATGACTCGGAAAAAGTCACATTGGTACTTGCCGTTGCTTGGTAGGTTTCGAACCTGCATCCTCGTGCATGAGAAGCAGGCGTCGAACCTCCGGGCCACCACGATACAATAACATAATATGTGTGTACATAAATAAATAAATTAATATGTTTCTTGAGGTAAACACGCAGAAGTTCACTTAGGCGCTAACGAACTAAGTTATGACATAAACACACATCATTTGATTAATGATCTAGATCAAAAAATATAAACCTGAATATACTACTACTAGCGACCCGCCCCGGCTTCGCACGGGTGCAATATGTATATACATACAAACCTTCCTTAAGAATCACTCTATCTATTAAAAAAAACCGCATCAAAATCCGTTGCGTAGTTTTAAAGATCTAAGCATACATACGGACATACAGCGAAAGCGACTTTGTTTTATACTATGTATTGATATACGTTCACGAAAACACATTAATGAAGATATCGTAGGACGTGCATAACAACAAAACAAGCATTACATAATTTGACACAAAAAAAAACTATACTAAAATTACAATCAGCAAGAGGCAGTTAGATAGTAGAATTTGTTGATTTATATCAGGATAACAATAAAAGCCGCTACTTTTCCACTTGATGCCCATAATCCCCTGAACGACAAGTGTCACTGTATTCTGGTGTTTTAACCTAATGACTATAAGCCATCTTATCAGAGATTTCATAATAACAAGATAGGAAAAGACATGAATTTACTGATAAGCTTAAGTTTGGAGTTTTTAAATTGTTGTTTAGTACTTTTTATATATTTTATTTTATGTGTGTGTATTTTACGTGTATCTTAAACAAAAATAATGATCGTGGACCGCGTCAAAGACAACTCGCCTGAAGTAACGGGTTACCGGGGCTCCGGCTCGATGTGCAGGAGAAGGAACGTGGTGGTTAGTCAGTAAGAGTCTGACACTCCCTCCCGCCTCACCCAGGCGGGAGCAGTCATTCGATGATTTTCTCCCCTTAAAAAAATGCGAATTGTGACGTGGTTCAATCCTATATATATCTTGGAGCCTTCATATCCAACAGGGGTAGTTGCGTGGATGAATTTAAGCGCCGCATGGCTATGGCCAGAATTGCGGTGGAGAAGCATCAGAAGTAAGACATCCTCAACTAGATAGTCACAATATTACAATTTTATCATTTTTATAATACAATATTTCCAGGTCTGTGCAGCGACCGGTAGAGGGTATACCTACGAGCAAGCATTCAAGTTGTCAAACAGATTTGCTGCAAACCTTAGGACGAAATTCAAGATCCAAGATGGAGACGCCGTGGCAGTGATGTTACCCAATATTCCAGACTATCCTCTGGTGTCTCTGGGGATATTGGAGGCAGGTGGAGTGATTACCAGCATCAATCCCATTTACACTGCTCGTAAGTAGACCTTTTCTTATAAAGGCATCTAGTCTTTAAGAGAACCAATAAGTAGCACTACATCAGTTTAGAACGAATAAGAATTAGAATAAGAGATTTCATATTTATACGTCAGTCTAAATTTGTAAATACCCTATCAATTTCTCACGATCGCTTAAATTTTATATCCCTATTTTAATGTGTTACAATAAAAACCTTACATAGACATACTAAAAAAATAGTTATAGAATCTTTGTAAGTACATTTTTAGATTATCATCACGCCTTTTATATCCGTAGGCAGAGGTGCACATTATGGCACTTAATGCCACTGTACAATATAACACCCTCTTTTCTCTGTTTATGTTATGAGTCCTATGAAATAGGGAATGAGCCTATTGCCATATACCGGTCTGAACTCCAGTATCCGTGCTACTTATCAGATTTTTTTTAAAACCCAGTAATTCTTGGTCCGACTTCGGTATCGAACCCGATACCCTTAGCCTTGAAGCAGTCTTTTATAAGTGTAACCATAATAAGTGTTTGCCTGCATAATAAAACAACCGTAATTGCAAAAGGAAGTTGTTTAGATCTAAATAATGCAAAATGTCTTAAAACTGGTCTAGACAATACTATAGAAGACAATGTTGCTTCATTCTCCCACGTTAATGCAAATAAATGAATAGACGTCAATGTTAATAGTACTGTGACGTCATAATTTTATTAATGTGACAATAATGATAAGTAAGGGTTATTTATTGCTCCATAAATTCGTAATAATGATACTTAAAAAAGTTTCACTTAATAATAAAAATAAATTATACGTTTCGATGAATAATATTAAGTAATTTGAAAAGGTTTATGTGGTCATAGGCACGGCTGTTAAGGAAGAAAGACGTCAAGGTTACAGTTATAATCTCATAATACTATTAAATAAGTAGACAAGACAAGCAATTTGGATCTAAGAGATAAATGAGATAAAGTTCAAACTAACTCAACAGTTTCTTCCAATACCGTTTCAGATGAAGTCCAACGCCAGCTAAAACTGTCTGCAGCAAAGATGATTGTCACATTACCAGAGATCGTACCAACTATAAAGGAAGCTTTGAAGCTTGCCCAACTAGACATTCCAATAGTTGTAGTAAAAACTAATGATAGTCCAGTTCCTGAAGGGACTGCACTTTTCAACGAACTGAGTGAAGATATTCATGCTAATAAATCTATATTAAAACAAGTAAGAAGGACTGCCAACGACGTTTGTTTCCTACCATACTCTAGTGGGACTACAGGACTGCCAAAGGGCGTGGAACTCACCCATAGAAACATCATAGCAAACTGCGAGCAGATCAATGAACCAATTATTGCTATGCATAGAGAAACAACAGGTGGGTTTACATTAGATTCCATAACAAAATTAGGTTTACTGCTAAATAAGAGAAAATATGAGGAATACATATAAAAAGAAATTGCTTGTCGACTAGTAATTCATCATGTTTCCTAAACTGCCCTCAAAATTTTCGATTTAATCATAGAGTAGCTTAGAACATAACATAACATCACGCCATTTATCTGAAAGAGGTGCACATTACGGCACTTAATGCCACTGTACAATGTTACACCCACTTTTCACTATTTATCTTATAAGCTCCAGGTAATGGGGTTGAGCCTATTGCCATGTACTGGGCACAATTTCAGACTCCGTGCTACCACTGTAATTTTTTTTAAAAAACTCTGTAGTTTTGAATAGTCTGTTATTTGGGTTCCATCATGGAACATCTGATGAGTATATAAGATGTTGACAATCTTCATTTATCCTATTTCCAGCCACTCATCAAGATGTTGTGATGGGTGCGTTGCCATTCTTCCACATCTACGCAGCGACAGTCCTCATGTTTCACAAGATGTCCGTCGGAGCCAAACTAGTTGCTTTAGCCAAATTCCAACCTGAAGCATTCCTGAGTTGCATTGAGAAGCAAAAGACTAACGTATTGATGGTGGCGCCGCCTTTGAGTAAGTATTTAACCATTGGGTTCTAGAGGTATAGGGCAGATTAAATACAGTAAAATATATTGCAATGAATATTGAATGAAATAAAGATAATGCAGCGATAAAGATTACAGATTGGTGCACTATCGAACAGGAGCTGCACTCAGGTATTTGATAGATTGGACGATGTTTATTTCAATAGTTGAATATACCAGCCATGTGACTTGTGTACTCAAGTACAATTCAAAGAGATGGTTATGTCAACAGTCTTTAGAGTTGTTTAAGCAAAACGATTACTCTGTGTAAATAAAATGTTTATCTAAAAATTGTCATGTCCATGTCCGTAGATGTTTACATTTACACATACAAAAATTATTTGTTTACGTTGCTTGGTTTGCGATATTTTTTGCACAAGGTCGTTCGTTGACTATACTAGTTTTGATACCGGATTCTATAAAATGTGTACTATTAGTTCAGTTCACTGGACCGTATGTTAGTGAGAGTAAGTTCTATTTTTGTTTACCATTTTTCGTGTAAATTCAAGGCCAAGTTATAATGGTATAAAATGCGAGCTCACAAAATAGACGCTACATGTAATTGTGAAAATGACAGCTTAAGTAAATTAATGTACTTAGTATGATTTGTTACTAGCCAATTGTATTTATCGAGATAACTAATCGGATATAATTTTAGCTGTATCTATTTATTGTTCTTATTTGACGTCATCGATTTGAAAAATACGTACTTTGTTTAATTTATATTGATAAATTCGAGTGGTTATTACGATCATCAGTTTAACTCGTCGAGTACCGTCATTATAGACACAATTATAGAACAATAGGTTGCGGTCACCGGTGACCGCTTGGTGTTTGACAGTTTAACTCTTTGGCAAGAAATTATGTTTTATATTCGTAAGAGTATATTATCTACTACCATATATTGTTAGATTAATAAAATCATTTCCGTATAACAAGGATAAATGAATGATTGTGCCCAAACAGTATGACAGCATAGTTGTAAATAACAGGAAATGGTTTTTGGTCTAGCTCAAGGTCATTACTTTGTATTCCTATTGGATGTTGTATAAAAATCAAATTAAAACGAATATCATCAGAATAATTCACATTTTATGAAACATAACATAATATCACGCCTTTTATCCCCGAAGGGGTAAGCAGGGGTGCACATTACGGCACCTAATGCCACTGCACAATGTAATACTCACTTTTCACTCTTATTTTCTGAGTCCCATGTAACAGGGGGTCAGCCTATTGCGAAATAGCGGGCACATTTCTAGAATCCATGCTACTACTGAGATTTTTTATTTAAAAATCCAGTAATAATTTGCCCGACCCGGGAATCGAGCCCTATGACCCCTTGCCAGGCAGTCGCACTTGCAAGCTCTCGGCCAACGAGGCAGACTATTAATTTACGAAACTTTTTATTGAAATTGGCTTAGATTGCTGCATTGCCTCATCGGTCACAAGACTTACACTAATCAAAGAATGCATTTTTAAAAGAGAATTTGAATAAACCGCTTGAAATTTTGATTTCAGTTCTCCTAATGGCATCTCACCCAGCAGCCACTGCGAAGACCCTGGAACCTATAGACGTCATATGTAATGGAGCAGCTCCTTTAGCTGGTAGTGACGTGGAACGATTATTGAGACGGATGCAGGTATATAGATTTCTCCTACACTGAAATACTGATTTAAAGATTAATATCCCTATAAAACCCCTTCTATACTATACAAATATGTATTATTGTCTATGTAAAAAAAAATATTGAATATTTTTAATTGTAAGCCTTCATTTGGCTCTGACTTTGATCTCGATTTTAAATTTTGTGATGGACTTACGGGTCTTTTTTTTTGTTGTTGACGGGGGGAAACCTTCTTAAGACACCTAGCTTTTTGGGGAAAAAGACTGTGAATTTTACTTCACTAAAACCTCCTACTACCGGCCACCATCCGCACCTGAAGGAGGCACCGGGTCCTCTTAGTAGACCAACCCCGGGGGGACTTAGACTAGACGGGTCTAGTTAAAGACATTTTCTTATTTACTAAATGATTTTCTTTTGTTTTGATTGTTTGTTGTTAGGAATCTTATTCTTTAACTCGTCGAGTACCGGTTTTGTAGACACAATTATAGAACAATAGGTTGCGGTCACCGGTGACCGCTTGGTGTTTGACAGTTTAAGTCGCGCTTAACTATAGTTCTGTCACTACAAATTCTTTGTAAAATGACAGAGATGGCGCGATATTTAACTTACACTTTAAAATTTAATAGCCTTTCAGTATTCGGGCGTTAATGATACTAATAAAAGTTTGTATAATTAAGCTTTCCAAAATAGAATCATCAATCACGTTGAAAACAATCTGGACATTTTGTTAAAACAACGGCTGTGGCACCTGGCTAGTGGCTACTGTAGACTTATACGCGGAATACATACACATAGACATGAAGGATATCTGTCGTGTGACATGGCCCTTTATCTTTATAGCACTTCATACATTACGGTGTTGCAAGTACACGCGCACATAAAGAAAGAAAGAAAGAAAGAAAGAAAGAAAAACCATTTATTTTACATAAATACGTCACTCCCATTTTGATGTCTCAATCATTTGTTTAAGGGGCATTACCTCACCCTTCTTTTGTAACGTCTTTGGGAAAAATCTTTCTTTTCCAGCGCGACGTAGACTTCAGACAAGGTTATGGGCTGACTGAGACGTCTCCAACATTAACAGTTACTCCTAAAGGGTTGATCCGGTATGAAGCAACTGGACCACCTGTAGCGAATACCGAGATGAGGATCGTGGACTCGGATCTCAAGAACTTGGGTCCTAATGAGGTTTGTAATTTTGAGGCTGTAATTTTTTGGACCTTTTTTTTTTTTTTTAAGGGGGGAAAATCATCGAATGACTGCCCCCGCCTGGGTGAGGCGGGGGGAGTGTCAGACTCTTACTGACTAAAAACCACCCCGTTCCTTCTCCTGCACGTCGAGCCGGAGCCCCGGTTACCCGTTAGGTTCTCCGCGACAATTTTTTGGACCTTAGAACAACGAGAAGACCCGTTCGTTTATTTTAAATTATTCCTCTAGTAGTCTATTTCTTACAATTTCGTTGTTTTCATTGATAAGCTCGTTGCTTCTAGTTTTTTAACAGGAGCTTCATTACATAAAATTTTTTCATTAACCAGGCCCCATAGCATTTTTAACATATTTCGATAGAATAAAGAAGAGTATCAAGTCTATGTGATTTGTAGATGATGCCTACCAAGTTACGAGTAAAAAGCGTAGTGATTTGTAATGTAACTTATTCAAAATTATAAAGGGAATATTGTAATTTTTGCAGACCGGTGAGATCCTTGTTCGAGGTCCTCAAGTGATGCGAGGCTACAAAGACAACCCTGAAGCCAACAAGGAAACTCTCGTAGAAGGCAACTGGTTTAGGACTGGTGACTTGGGCGTCGCTGATGAAGATGGTATTCTTGTTATTGCTGATAGGCTCAAGGAGCTAATTAAGGTAAGAACAATCGATAGGATGTGTATAAGAAAGATATGGTGAAGTGAATAAATAAGTAGTTGTTATTAGTATGACAAGGTGTTGGTTCGAAGTTGTTAGATTGTGAAAATCTAAACTTAAAGCAAAAATCACAAAGGTTCACCAATGATAACTATGATACAGATATCATGACTAATGAACTATGCATCATCATCATCAATAGCCTATACCTAAGTGCCTACTGCTGAGCAAGGCCTCTTCTCACACGGACAACGTTTGAGCATTAATCACCACACTTGTTCATTGCATTTCAAATTAATTATTAGAAATTATATGTCCAGGTTCCCTCACGATGTTTTCATTCCCTATCACCATTTGCCACTGGTATTTTAATAATCTTAGAAAAAACAGATATAACTTTGAAAATGTCACATTGGTACTTGCCGTTGATAGGTTTCGAACCTGCACCCTCATGCACAAGAATCAGGCGTCTTAACCTCCAGGCCACCGCGACACTAAGATGTATAAGAAAAATATAGTGAAGTGAATAATTAAGTGGTTGTTATTAGTATGACTAGACGTTGATTGGACGAAAGTTATGTCAAAAATTATTATGGCTCACCACTGATAACTACGATAGTGATAACATGACTGACTAATGAACTATAGGGACCTTTTTGAATTAATACAGGGAGTCATGAGAAGACAGTACGTTATGTTGAAATCGTCTAAACTTAATTCTTTACATTTTACAGGTCAAAGGCTTCCAAGTGCCACCAGCAGAACTGGAATCCGTTTTACGAGAACATCCCTCGGTCAACGACGCAGCTGTCATTGGAGTTCCTCATCAAACCAAAGGAGAATCACCAAAAGCCTTCGTAGTACTTAAGAATGGTCACAAATGTACTCCTCAGCAACTCAGCGAGTTTGTCAACGAGAAAGTAGCAGCTTACAAACATGTGGATGATATTACATTTATAGAGAGTGTCCCGAAAAGTGCAGCTGGAAAGATTTTAAGACGAGTTCTAAGGGACCAGTACTGTTAGCATAGGAATAATGAAGCAGGTTGTATTTTCAAGGCATTTAACAGTTGTGTGGAAAAGAGATAGTATTATATCCCATCTTCTTTCCGCCAGTGGTTTTAAAATGACTTGAAACTCCTGCAGGGTAATAAGATTTATATACAGTCAATTTTATATGTTGTAAATAGTTGTAAGGACGAATTTTTCTGTTTAAATGAAAAATATATTTTTTTATGAATCATGGTGCAATAATTGCTATAGTGAACCGCATGTCGATATATGTGACATTTTTTTTGTTAACCTGATTTGTTTGACCTAATTATCAAAGAATGATTTTTTAAATTTTCTTCTATCTTACTGAACTCTTTCAGTGATCATCATTTATCATCGTGTCTTTAGTAACTGTTGGAAAGAGAAAAATTAAGTATCTATTATATTCTTGGCCTGAGATCTGGACTCGAATCATTTTGAAGCATCATCTAAGGAATACACATTATAGTTCGATCGTTAAGGAGGAAATATTGGGGTTACCTGGAATATTTTCTGGGAGTTTTGTAAATTGGCAATTTTGATGTGCTATCAAAATATACAAAATTGCCATTTTTAAGATTCCCATTTGCACCCTCGTACGTGGGCCGCTCGCGCCGCCAGTTTTTCCAAGATGGCGGCGCGAACTGACTGATGACTGAACTACATATCATTATTAAGTTTCTATCAACTTGCTAGTTTTGACTAACTTCACAAATTTTAATTTTAATGGTTATTTGGATGATTTCAAATTGATTTTCATATCCCTATTTTATAAAACTAACGTGATAGGTGGTGGATCACAGGAAATTTTGTATTATACAGTTAAACTTACGGTGATTTTGATCAAATGAATTATAAGATTTATAACTATGGACATACGGTTTACTGTTGCATTTTTATATTTATTAATACTGTCATTACGAGCTTAAATACGTAAGATATACAATTATTAATTTGTGATGAAAAAAAATCAATATACATTTGTAAACTACAATGAACCGAGGTAGGTAACGTAAAGTAATATTTGGACTAAAGATTTACAAATGAACCGAGATAGGTAACGTAAAGTAATATTTGGACTAAAGATTTACAAAAAGCTTTAATATCTTGTAACACATAAATAAACATTATATTAGTTATATACTTCAATCAGTCATCATCATCATCATCATCAACAGCCTATAAATGCCCACTGCTGAGCAAAGCCTCTTCTTACACGGAGGAGGTTTGAGCATTAATCACCACTCTAGCTCAATGCTGGTTGGCGATTACAGCTCAGTTTTCCTCACGATGTTTTCCTTCACCGTTGATCAGTGGTGTCTAGATAATCTTAGAAAGTACATACATATGAAATCATAGATACGTAAATAGATGAAAAGAGAGTGATAGAAAATCTTTTTGTAACATTTTTAATTATTATTTTGAACTGTACTATTGTTATTGATAAAAGAATAAAATTCATATCATTTTTTAATATTTACTTATTGTTTGACTTTACCTAACCTAATACTACATAGTTTATTTTCTTTGAGGTTATTGTAGATTATTAATTTCACCTAACACTAATAATGATTACAGACAGAGAATATATGTATATATGTAACCACGCATAGCAAGCAGTATGTAGATTGTAGTCAGGGTTTATGAAAAGCGCTGCCGAATTAATTAATTATTTAAACTTAAATGTACACAAACAACTGCCTCGTTGGCCGAGTGGGCTCAAGTGCGACAAGGGGCAAGGGGTCTTGGGTTCGATTCCCGGGTCGGGCAAAGTATTACTGGGTTTAAAAAAATCTCAGTAGTAGCACAGAGTCTGGAATTATGCCCGGTATATGGCAATAGGCTCACCCCCTATTACATAGGACTCATAACATAAAGTAGTGAAAAATGGGTATTGCATGTTTCATTATTTTATCCAAGTCTACGAAGATATTATTCATAATATTCATAATAGCTAGTCGATGGGATTAATTTTGCTGAATTTATCACTTTGACAAAGTTTGTAGATATTATGTAGTCATTATGAATAATGTCAAATTAAATCACATATATATATAAAAATAAGTAATATAACAAATAATAAAACAGTGTTTTTATAGCATTGTCTTTTAATTTACATTGCTGATTGTAACCCAGTACCTGTTCACCAAACTCGAAATAAAGGTAATAGAGAATAAAATAGCAATACTTTGAAGAACAATAGACTTCCAAGCTCAACATAACGGGAATCGACATAAAGGGAATAAATATCTGGAACAATAATACATAACCTTAACATTCAAAAGTCTATACAAATAGCTCGTTAACAATGAATAATATTAATTTATTTGTATTTCTTATGATAAGTGTATGATAAACGCAATCTTTATTTACTATCGGAGTATAATAAAATGATTATGCCACAATACAGGCAAAAGGACAGTAGTTACAAACTACAAGTATTTGAAATCTATATACCTATTTATCTATTTTGGAAAAGTTATATCATTAAACTCCCCAATCACCTCAATCCCTTAATCCCTAACGATCCAAAAACTCCTAATCCCCAAAAGGCCGATAACGTACTTGTAACGCCTCTGGTGTTCCAGGTGGCCATGGGCGACGACCATTTTTTTGCTATCGACGATTGATACGACGAGAATTGTATTGTAAACCTGATTGGAAAAGAGTAACCTATGGAGTTCCTTGCTCGTTTATCCATAGGAATCTACACCTTGGAATGAGTAAATAGCTTCACTTCTAAATTTTTATTGTTGACGTTCAAATGTGCCTTCCTGGTCTAATTGAAATAAGTGATTTTGACTTTGACTTTGACCATCAGGTGATCCGTCTGTTCGCTCACCGGCTTATACCATTAAAAATATGTTTCTCTATACTATACAACATCGTGCTACGGTCAAAACGAGCCGAACAGAGTTGGTGAAATCGGGCGGAAGTAGGTAGTTTAAAATATGTTATAGTACAAATACATGTTTCGGCAAATATAATTTATAAAAAACATTGTTAGTGTGATATTTATAACTAAGTATATGAACCGGTTGTATCGAGACGAGGTCAAACTCTATTGATAAAGGACCTTGCGGATCTACGCGTATAAATAATACAATGATATTGAAACACTGATTAGTAGTACAGTATCACATAACATTACAATATCTATTAATAACATTTGCCTAGCCAAATACAGTCAGAACAGCTGTTTATCATGCAGGTAAAAAATAAATAGGCCCAATCTCGCCAATCACAACCATTCTTAAATTCCTAATCCCCAAAAGGCTAGCAACGCACTTGTCATGACTCTGGTGTTTCAGGTGTCGATGTGCGGCGCTGATTGCTTTGTTTTTTTTTATGGGACAAGCCCGCCACAGCCTCCCAAAACCGCTGCAACTCCTGTAAGCCAGGATCTACAGTAGATACAACCGGAAACAACAACACCGGAACATTGAAGTCCGGTGCGTTCCAGGGACATGAGTAACTGTCTTGGTTCCCGCAACGAAGTGAATCAGAATATATTATAAGAGGAGAAGAAGAAAAAACTATGCGCTGATTGCTTATCATCAGGTAATTCGTCTGCTCGTTTACCGGCTTATCCCACAAAAATGTTTTTTAAGGGGGGGGGGCGGGGGGGGGAATCATCGAATCCTTCCCGCCTGCCTGGGTGTCAGACTTTTACTGACTAAAAACCACCCCGTTCCTTCTCCTGCACGTCGAGCCGGAGCCCCGGTTACCCGTTAGGTTCTCCGCGACATCCTACAAAAATGATAGCTTCACTACAGTTACAGTAACCATTTGTTGACTACTGAACTGATCAATGATTATAGATTTGCCTTGGTTTAGAACTATTTAGCACAATAACAGCTGTCTCTGTACTGAGTCAATTTTTATTTTCTTAGCTGTGTTGCGACTGTACCTGAAACAATGAATATAACACATAACGAAAAATATTTTGACACGTCCTCTTCGCCTCATTTTTAGTAGAATAAATGAGGTGAAAATAGGCGGGAAAAGTAGGTATAGTTACCAACTTAGGACTTCTATTCTGCCATCACTGGTCGTAAAATAACGTAGCGTAAGCAAATTGTCACATGCTATTAAAAAGTGCTTTGGATGAGAGTAAAACCAACACGTCCTTGTCGGCCTTGATTAATGATTCCAAATTCTAGTGTGAAACATTTATGATTGTGAATTGTAATGTCAATTAAGTAAAAACGCGGGTTACTCACGTGAATATACTGAGAAAACCTCTACTAGTTTCGAACCACAGAGTGAGCTGCGCGACGTCGCCGCGACCGATAATTTAGTATGTCTCACGATAGTTATTATAAAAACAATTGTAATGTCGTTAATTGTTAAGTTTTCAGCTTACTCACGTAACAGTTTAACGAGGAACTCGACTACTTTCAAGCCATGCTAGAGGCTCGTAATTATTCATGAGCGATGATTACACAATGCGGTGACCGTCGCCCTACTATTGATACACACAAGCAAATATTAATTAATTCAGTATCTCTCGCGAATGTTATAATGAAGTGCTTTAATTCTTAGTTTTTATTTGAAGTGGTACTTCTGTTATTTAACTGCCAAACAGGCGCAAAATATAACAAATTCATGAACCGTCTGCTTCCAGTACTCAGAAGACGTTGAACGTTGTCAACGTGCGGACTACTCGAATTATCAGTTTGTTTGTAAATAATATAATTTTAAAATTAACTTTTTATCTATATTAAACAATAACTACTGATATTATTGTTTTACTATTGCCGTCATGTCTACAATAATATTTCGTTTTAGACCGAAATTTAGCCGTTTTTGTCTTAGTGCGTGTGTTAGAGAAAAAAGTGTTTGGACCAGTGAGAAGATTTTAACTTCGGCTTCTAAAGAAGTTGACATACCGAACTTGACAGTGGATCAGTACCTGTTTAGCAATTTAGAAAAATGGGCAACTAAGACTGCTGTGGTAAGTACGTATAATTATATAAGTGAAGCATTTCTGCTTGTCCCTATCTTAAATTAATAGATTTAATATGTCTTGTTGTCTAAGGCGCTTTTGCCATACCTATTATTGGAAGTAAGTAACAGCTCACACATAGGACCCACTTAGTTTTTAGTCAAATTTCCGTGGTGCTTGGCGACTGGGCTTCACCCAGTTGTACAGTCTCTTTTTTTTGTGCCTTCAGGCTTAATTCATTCTGTCTCCTGCAGTCATTCACCGAGGGAAGTGGAAACTATAATTTTTTCTTCTTCTTCTCTTATAATATCTTCTGATTCACTTCGTTGCGGGAACTAAAACAGTTACTCATGTCCCTGGGACGCGCCGGACTTCAGAGTTCCGGTGTTTTCATGGTTGTATCTACTGTGGATCCTGGCTTGACAGGAGTTGCAGCGGTTTTGG